GTGATACAATGACTTAAGTATAGCATTTATTCCCCAGCTAGGGACCATCACACTACCTACTTCAGTGCAAAGCATATTAACACTGCAGGGCACTCTCTCAGTTAAACACTTAACTGCCAGTTAATACTAAAGCATGGACCATCAGTGATAGCATCCTGGTCCTCTTCAGTTTACTTATATAGAAATTACAATTGCATGTCAACCTATTGCCAGTAATTAAAAAAAAAGCCCACCCAAACTTAAAAATGATTTTTAACTTCTAACATGCAATAATGTTGCCATATATCTAGCAAACCAGCATCATTGAATCAACTGTCTTTCTTCAGTCTTTAATCAGGCTAGGAGTATTTCCTCAGTTTTAGACCCCCTGGGCTTGAAACCAGACCCAAAATATGCTTCAGACCTGGATGAGCAGAAACTTCAGGGACAAGAAAAGTTCCAAGCATGGGCATTGTCCTGGCTGCTAGGGTAGAAATAGGAGATGCAAAACCAAAAAGAGACTACGGGGGTTGATACTGTGGTCTTACCTCAGTCCCAGGCTGTTGAGCAGCCAAGTTACCATTCCTCATAAACACCATGGTCACGAAGACCACATAAAGGCCCTGGAGGTGCTGCAGTCTCCACTCACAGAGGCTAGAAGGGCTCCACAGCTATGACAGAATGACCCAAGAGAACAAACTCCCCAGCTGATCCCAAGTTCTGCATGCAGTTTTCAAGGTAGAAATCAATACAAATGGACAAGTTCTTGAGCTAGACTAAAAAAAAAAGTTCATTTTTTAAGTTCTGGTGCAGAAAGAACATCAAAGGCTCTAACAAGGATCTCTGCTAAGAGGGAGGATTGCTCCTAATTTTTTTTCTATCAGGAAGTATAGGGTTTTTAATGCAAGGGTGGTTAGGGGAGTGAGGAGGTGGGTGGTATTGGTGCATGTGTGTTGGATCATGAACTCAGTCATGTATGTAAAATCCAGAGACAACAGAAAGATTAAACACTATCTCCCATTAGGGCATATTTTGCAAAGTGTCTTCTACTGAAGATGTATTTTCATAAAATATGACTTATCTCCATGCTATGGATATCTGGTCTCTTATTCTAAAAATAATTGAACAGTTTCTCTTCAGTTCGGGAAATTTAATTTTATTAAGTGACTGTACAGCAATGTGCAACATGCATAAACAAGTCGTGAAGACTGTAGACTAATACTGGCACAGTCAATTTGCACAGTAAAAGGAGAGATTAAGCTTGTTGTCTGAATTGCACTTCTGTAATCACTTTCTTTTGGATACTGAAAAACTGAACAAAATAGTGCTTTCATTTAATTTAAACACTAACAAAAATTAACATCTGAATTTCTAGCCAAGCAGCCAGGAATTACTTCCCCTGCTTATTGTGCTCATACTCTTGCTATAAATAAGTAGACTAATGACATCCAAACAACCCAATCAGTCAAAATGGACACAAAACGAAAAACTATTTTAAAACTCTTGTCATTTGACCATGCCAGAAGTTAATTAGCAGTACTAACATTTGAGTTTTGAGACGCACACTGAGGTTGGTTTCAATGGCTCTAGACAGTTATAAGCCTGCAGAGCAAGGCTAGTCAAAGCAGAGTTTCAGTATTTCAAAATACTGAGAGTTCCCAAAAACACCTTGCTTTAAGAAAACAACCAGGAGATGTTAGATTGTACGCTTTCAAAGCTTTTGTCTTCTGGCTTATAGTTATCAGAATTCTCATTTTTCTAGGGACTGAGAAACTAGAAATGGTATTTAAATGCAAGAATCAACAGTTATCATCCCAAAAACAAGATCAGCAGAGCGTAGCGAGCATCCCTGAGTGCACACTGCTAGTAATATAAGCAACATGTTCAGCTAATATTATATTTAATATTCATACAATGCTTACCAAGGGGAAAAAATTCGATCTTGTAAGAAAGTTGCTGCGTTTAATATTTCCCATAACATGATGTACATGGTTTACTGACGTATCTCCAGGAGGCTGTAAGAGGAAAGGAGCAATCTCCATCCCTCCAAGTGTGAACTGCAGCACTGCTTAGCAATTTGCTCTGCAGCCAGACCTTAGAAGAGAGGGAGAGAGGGAAGGAAGCAGCGACCTGCTATCCCACCTCTAAATCTTGTAAGAGACAAGGCCTAGAAGGCTGGCACAAGAGAGTCACCTTTAATTCTAGTTTTCGACCTCACTGTTCCTCTGCGTTTTTCTGGTCCCCTCAAACTGATTTTTGCAGCTCAGCAGCATCATGGCACACTTTGGTCCCAACCATTTGCTGGAAGGCTACAGGACTCTGCACGCAGACAGGCTTTCTACCAAACCAGTATCAAGCACACTCATTGAAGTGGTAGTGCAACTGGGTCAAGGTAAAGGACTCAGCAGCCAGCTCTGACAGCTCCATGTCCACCAGAACATCTGGTGGAATTTTCTTCACTGATCCAAAGGACCAACCCTAAATAGCAAGCTCTGTAGCAACCAACAAAGAAATCCAACTAGAAAGACTTATGGGAGATACAGGGGTCAAGCTGAGACTGGTTTTTCACTCTCTTTGAAAAATTCCAACAAGACCACAGTGTGTGAACATACTAGCTAAACTCTAATTGAGGCTATGGAAAAAAAAAATAGAATCTATTGCACATATGGTCTCTCTAGAACTACCGATGCCTGCTTGATCCTAGAGGAAACCCAGAATACTTGTCCATCCACTGAGACCATGACAGAGCTTTCAGAGCTCTGTTTTGAATGCCATCTGCTCAACAGAGATCTCTTTTGGCCAGACTATGAGACTGCCCAGAAAGGCCATGGAGTCTCCATCCTTGGAGATACACAAAACACATCTGCTGTAATGAGCAGAGGGTGGGAACAGAAGCATCCAGAGGTCCTGCCCAGTCTACCTGATTCCATGATTCGTCTCCCCCCCTAAAACTAGCAAGCTGAAACTGTGCAAGAGGTTAAAGTAAAAAATAACGAAGGTAAAAGTCAAAAGACATTATATTTGTTAAGGTTCAGATAAAGATGAAATCTTACACTGAAAATTTTGAGGAAAGACAAGAACAGACAACAGTTTCACTAACTCCTGCTCTGCTGTAATCAGACCAGTCACTTGCAGTTCACCATAGGCAGATGCTTTTTTTTAAAAAGAGGCTTGAAACTTTTACATTAAATATAACTTTTAAACAGCAAGAAAAATATTCTGAAGTGTCTCGTGTTTAGTGAATTATTTTATATATTAGTGTCAGAGGTGGGACCAGCAGAAGACTGCAGAGAATAGAGCTTCTAGCAACAACAGCTGCCCAGAATTGCCTGAGACCCAGCTACAAAGAGCAGCCTTACAGACCTCTGCAGGATTTCCCTCTGAGATGGACCTGATGTCACACAGCTGTCCTGAACTCTAGGTGCTGTATTTTTGGCTGTAGCTTTCTTAAACTGCCCAGACACCCAATTCAAACTGAGGACATTCAGCACTTTTAAATTCCTGAAGAAAACAACTTTGTAGTTTGCATACAAATCCGAGGAAAATAACAGTCTTACCCCTGAAGGATGATGCTTTAGGCAATGGAATATTCTTTCCTGAATTACAGTTAGCCTCCTAAGGACATAGAACATTTTAAATCATAAAGGTCTGGACTGTATATAGCAAAGAATAGGTAATTTTGAACAATATGCATGACAAATACAAAAAGTATTACTTAGTGACCTAGAGTTTTAAAATGCCCAAGACAACATTAAAAACTAACAAGATCCTCACAGTCTCTATGCTCAACTCTTTGGTCTAAAGTCTGAATATCCTTATTACAGGTAAACAATATGGTTTAAAAAAAAAAAAATAGCCGTTATGCAATCCAATTGAAGACAAACCTAAGATGTTTTAATATTTGGTTTGCATTTCTTCTATCACTTTTGAGTTTTGTCATTCAGTATTTTTATAATAAAATTCAAGTATCACTTGCTGATAAAAAAGGCATTGTAGCATATTTCCAACGTAAAGGGTATTTAAGTCCAGGCA